CAGCACATGGAAACGTTCTATTAGACGGTTATGATTTTACATTATTAATTGATATCCATATCTAAACGTATGTCGGCTATGTATCATAAATTCCGTTTATTATAAAACACCTGTTTTTATCTCATCCTACTCCATTTTATTCCATTAGACGCGACTTATCTATAATCAATCATAACAGCCGATTACAAATACAAAAGTCTCTTTGTTTTTAATATTTTTTCTAAGCAAAACAGGTGTTCTGCTCCCAATGCTAATCTGCGAATCCAATATGAAGGATATTTTGCTTTAGCCTAATTATTCTCCAGCCGTTTTTCTCGAACGCTTTCCTACGGTATTTTTTTTTTTTTTGTTTAAGAATAACAAGCGCAGTATGAACTATTAACCAGTGCAATAAGAAGTGGGACCGACAAAGCAAAGTCGAGGGAACTGTTGCTAGCTTACTAGAAGTATCTATATAGATGATTATATTGTTCGTAGCTCTACTTTTACACAGTGTCCACAGCAAAACGTCAAATTAATGAAACAAACAAAAATCAAATAAACTAAATGTAAATAATTCACATACAGAGATGTGCAGTACCTATTCGAATAAACCGTTATCTGAATAATAATCTGATAACAAAATTATTCAAGTAAGAGTTATTCGAACCATTTTTTATTCGAATTATTTCAAACATAATTATTATTATTAATTATTCGCGTAATTTTCAAACATATCAAACAGTTTGTACAATATAGTATATGATAAATTTAAAAAGTATACAAAACTAGTTTATATTGAAAAAACAATATTTATTCGAATAAGAATTTATACAACTCTGATAAGATCCATAATTTATCGAATAGACCAGCGGACCATATTATTTTTTATTTTCAAAGAATAATAATTATTCTGTTCGTGAAAATACCCATCGGTTGTTCAGGCTTTGCACGATGTTAATGACTCGGTCTGATATTTTTGCTCGACATGAGTTTATAATGAAATTCTCTCTCGTGTGAGTACGGACAAAAACGATATACATTTTATTCATTTGACACAGACTTATGTACACCGAGAATAAAACAAATAGCATCGGGTAACTGTTCGAGTTTCACAAAAACGCGAAGATCCACCGCAAGCCTTTTATATAATGATTCATAATATTTTCCTATACTATTCTGTTATCATACAAAATATAAACAATCATACTTATGAAAAATCCCGAGTGATCCGTGTTAAATATCCGCTTTGCGCTCTTTGTGCGACCAATTAAAGATGTAAAATAGTAGTGAAAAGTACTGTAAGACGTCCAGCGAATAAATAAAATATATTTTTTCTCAATTTAAAATAACAGCGCTCGATAATTAAAAAAAAAAAAAATTATAGAATTACTTCCAAATTAGTGAGGAATACTCTGTAGATAGGCCAAAACAATCGTTAAAAATGTCTTCCCCTAGAATGGGTAGACGTTTTATTTCACTTATCCTTTTCGAGCACAGTTTGAAGACTTAAGGTCTGAAAATTTGAATATAGGTAGATGTAGAGTTTATTTTTATTAAGGAAAATCCTCCCACAAAAAAAAGAGAAAATTATACTTTGACCGTATTACATTTTTATTTTAATAAGCTACTATGTGTGAAGTGTGAACCATCATCCGAAAAGGAACCCGAAAAATGTTTTTATTATTATGTCCATATGTCTATCGGTAACAATGGCAAAGGTGTATTATTAGAAAAGATCGACACTTAACAAATAAAAAATTATTCAAATACATTTTTTTTCGAATAAAACATTTTTTGAATAATTATTTAGAAAAATGACAAATCACTCAAATAATTGTTTTTGAAATTTTCCAATCATTTTTTCAATTTATTTGAATAAAAATGAATTAGAATAAAAAAATATGTTTTCCTATAAATGCTGGTTTTATATATTTTGTAAATGTATATATTATGATATTTATGTTTTAAAAAATGATCACTTAAAAAAGCACTATTTACATTGTATGTCAAAATAATTTTTTAACTAGGTATATTGGTTTAAATTTTACTTGGAGTTTTTCATTCAATTTATTCTAAAACCGTTATTCGAATAACTATTATGCAACTACTTTTAACTATTATTCGTTATTCAAATAATTGAATTTGAAATTATTCGAATAAACTATTATTCCAATAGTTATTTTGTAAATGATTCTAATCAAAATGTTGTTTTCTATGTACAAATATGTTTATACGAAATAATGTTTTAAAAAAAAACAAATTTTAAAAAGCTCTCACAAACTATTAAAATAATACATAATTGAAATAATTTAATTTAAAATAATTATTTAAATAACTTTTCGTCCGAATAATTTATTTTGAAATTATTCGAATAAAATATTAATCAAACAATTTAAAATTATTCGAATAAAAAATTATTTGAATAATTGATTTTGAAATTATTCGAATAACTTATACTTGAATAATGTGTTATCTAGATGATTATTTAGATATCGTTTTATTCGAATGATGCAAAACTCTGATCATACGATCCGCCCTTGTACTAAAAATGTACAATTTTGATTATACATATTTGCGTTTACAATAATTATTCAGTACATCTTCTTATGTAATCTATAGGTTCGTTTTATTCTAAAAATAATTTCAAAACTGTCAGTAATACAAATTCCTGAAAAGCCCATGACCTCACCTGTTCCCAATTTGCTCTGGCCGCACTATACCATAGAAAATTGGCCCAAATTGTTTTCCCTCGTCAACCGAAAAGCTGTTTGTAAAACATTCGGGACAAACGATTCGGATTAAAATATAATACATTTTTTTCGAGGGGTTATTTTTGGACCCCAAAACACAACATTGTGCGATTGCAACCAACCGTACAGGGTACTAATATACGACCGCGGGGGTGTAAACCCATTGACGCCACAGGTGCATAATTAAATGGAGTCAACATAATGTTATAACGAGAAAACGGCGGTTAAGCGCAAAAAGCATTTAATTCCAAAAATGCAAAGCTGTATACAACAGCAGAATAGTAATAATATCATGATACGCGTGCATGGTTTTATTTTCAATTAAAACTATTATTATTATCATTAAACGTTTGAGCAGTTAGGTAAATTAATATTAATATAAACTACTGTAAAATAATAATTATTATCTAAATTTTCCGGCACGCATTATAGAGCAACGCCAAGTACACAGTCATGATAATTGGAAATATCATAATTTTATCAAATTAATTTTAGGGGATTGCATGCGGTCTGTTTTTAAGGAGTTTTATATACATAGGCAATATTTAAGAAAATAGAGGTTTTAATAAATTTCGACCATTTCAATTTGTTTACCGATTTATTTATATAAACTGAAATGTTTAAATGAAAATTGGCTTGCTACATAACATAGTGGAGTAGCCAAAGAACCTTTTTACAGAATTGAAATCCGACCATCTTAAGTAGTCGAAATTTTGTCTGGCTGTTTGGTCTAAAACAAAACAGACCGCATACAATCCCATTAACGCCTAACAATATAAATATGTTGTATTATAATTAATTGTTTAACTTTTATTAACATCATAAATCTTAAATGACATTTCATTTTTTTTTTATAAACAGTTTAAGCCATAATAATTATTATGGTCTTTGTTTTTTTGTACAAAAACATTGTTATTTTTATTTTTGTGCAAATAGGAACTTATTTTCTATATCTATATCAACTTTTTTATGCATATACTTAATATTCTAAACGATATAAAACGAGATAAACGCAGAAATATAATATAACAAAATATAGCAAAATATATAACCTATTAGAGAAGTCGAATTATTTATTTTTTTTTTTTAAGAGTTAAGATTTTTTTTTTTTACTAACAAAAATGCATTTACAATATATTATGTTGTGTTCATTAGGTAAATGTGATGAAAATTAGTATCATGGCAGCAAAAATAACGTTTATGGGAAGACACTCAGCCAAATCACTTGACTAGGAAATTAATACATTGTTTTTTTTTCTGATAATTTTAAGAAGTTAATATATAAAAATACATTAAGATAAAATTAGATAATCTGACAAAAACAAAATGAACTACTTATTAAAAAAATATATCATTGCAGCGCTAATAAATATTTACATAATATTTTGCGCTAAACATTTGAATCAAAATTAATAATACTTATTCTATTCTATTCTACAATAGATAACATGCATAACATTTTGGGAAACCAATTATATAAGGGAGCATTGTGACGTTTACTTTAGATTTTTTTCTGTAGGAAGGATTCAAAGTATGACCTATAATATAGATTACATTCATTAGTTTTAAACCATGGGCGGAGTTTTTGGGAGAGGGTGGGAGGATACTAGAAACCTTAAAACTTAATACAAGTGCTTTTCAAAATACCTACATTTTTTTTTTAGTGAGAAATTTGTTATTAAATAAAATTAAATGCAACACAAATTTTAAGTTCAGAATCTCAAGCCCCCCCCCCCACAAATCTCCACCCATATTTCAAACAAAATATTAATTTTTCTGAGCATTTGTGCAGATAAATCGCAAAGGTAATCCCGCACAACAATTAATGCAAATAAACATAAAGCAATTATTGTTTTTGCCTAAGCTTTGAAAATGAGGCGTCTAGTTTCGAGCCCGGCTAAAAGACCTGATACCGAAAAAGTGTATTATTATTTTTTTTAACTATTACACGTTTTCCTATTGCAATTGGATTTAAAATGGGCGCTAGCCATGCTCAAAACTCTGCAAGTTTGACTTGGTAATATCAAAAACGAGTCGTGCCCAATGAAACAATAATACGTCCGACTACATAAACATTTAAATATCTAAACATTTAGGCTTTTCGGGACCGTTTCGACTTAAAATTTCCCTTCCCCCCCCCCCGAAATTGCGCCAACGCGTGCGGGGTTTAAGGGTGGGCCGAAAGAGGTCGGGGGAGGGGGTGGGTGAGTACGAGGGGGGTCCACGTGAGGGGGGGATAATAGTAAACGATGATGTTCATTACTTTACCACTAGTACGACGAGCGTCCATGCGGTAATCACGACGTCGGATCGACCCGAGACCAACGGACAAACGACCGTACGGGAACCATTCTGCGACACACTGTTTTGGCGTTGGGCGGCCGAGACACGCCGAGCCATGCCGGTACGGCTATGCCGGCCGCCGTTGCGCCGGTCCCCTGCACCACCCTGTGTCTCGCGCCGTTCCCCGCCGGCACCGTACACACTGTACTATAATAATAACAATAACAACGATGACGATACGGCCGTCGGATGCGTTTTACTTTTTTTGATTTTTACACGGAAATCAATTAAAAGTACTTAGTATATTATAATAATATTGAAATGAAAAACGAATCGATGGCGATAACGTCGAGAGGACGCCCCACTCGGTGCGTTTCTGATGAGTAAAGTGTAAGCAAATTTTTACGAAAACTCTTCATTCGGAGCTTTGTATACAAACTACTTTATTAAATAAATTAAGGCGGACTGCTCATATGGTTATTTATATTAAACTACATAATATAAATTGACGTGACATATAAACATTAACGATAGTTACGTTGTAAGTAACTTAAAGGATATAAGTACATGATATGGACTTATATTAATAACACAATAAATAATTAACAATATGGATGGCACTGAATTATTCCCGATGTGTACTTAAGCACCGTTAGACACATCTCAACCAATTTTCGTTTGGGAATACCGCGAGTTTTAAAAAAATTCAAGTGTATACCTTATTAATACAGTGATGAGGGTATGTAGGCCAGTATTAACAGTAGATTTATCAAATGTCAAATGTTCATAATGTATAGAGAAAAACTTTATCTATGGGGTAGCGTTTTTAGATTTTTTTATTTATACTTAATATATGTTTATAAACAAATGAAAAAAGGAAAAAAATGAATTTTCACGAGTGACAAATTTTATTGAGCCTAAGTTATCAAAAAATTAAAAACGCTACCCCATAGATTTTTGCACGGATTTTGCAATTTTAGGTCTTATTAGAATCAACTTGATGCGAAGAAGTGCAGTAAAGAGTTTCAGAACTTTATCTGATATAGTTCATTCAATACAGTGCTTTAAAGTTGTATATCATAAAAACCATTCTTTTTCCGTAAATTTTTATAATTTTCCAATTAATTCATTTTTAAAATCATTTATTAACAAAACATATATTTTAAATAATTCTCCCAAAAATATATTTATATTAAATATTTACATAAGCACATTATTGTCAAAATGCTTTTATCGATAGCTGTATTTTTTACCATTACATATGGGCATCGAAGCGTTTATTTAAAAATGATTTTATCACTTTCAGATGTAATAATTCATATAAACTTGAGACTTCCCCTGACACAATATGCTTCATCCCCACTTAGCCCCGACCTCGCTGCACTGGGGTTACAATCAACGTGTTTACAAATAGTGTATAAATTGAGTATTTAAGGGACTTTGATATAATTAGAATAAACTTGTATAAAATACGAGTTAAGTAAAACAAAAAAAAAACGTTTAAAATCCATCCATCAATCGTTGTTTCAAATCATTCACGGTACGTTTAAAACACCATAAAGCCTTGTTTTTGACAACTTCGGCATAAAAACATGATCAATACTCATATTCGCCAATCAAACGCAAAACATTCAACAAAATAAACTGTTATAGAAAATCGTGTCGAACAAATTTTGACCTCGGTTATTGTTGTAATTTATTTACAAATATTTTTATTTTTCTCTGACTGAAGAGTAGGTACGGTTGTTGTTGTAAACTCGAGTATTAAATATCAATCAACGTTTTTTTTCATTCCCACGATTTTCGTCGTCCTGACCGAACACCATTTCCAACCCATTTTGTACCTCTTAACGCACACTGTCCGTGCTTTTTACACTATAATACTATTTCAATTTGAATTCATCATCATTAGTCTTTCGAAAACTTTAATCAGACATAGTATCACAGTAGAGGATTTAGAAAAAAGGGTAATGAACTACAAAAGTCAGTTTAGAAAACGCATTTAATCGTTAGTTTATCTTATAAAGTGTTATTGAAATTCTGCGCCAACTTCTTACCAAACAAGGTTTATACTCTGCAGAGTAATTTTATTTTTAATTTATCAATTAATTATAATATGTACTATTCAATGTATGCTATGTATTTAATGGTTTGTTAGGGAATAATGTACATTTTTTAATTAAAACTATTTAAATTGACATATTAATAAGGAAGATACAGAATAACTATAAGTTCTACGTATACCCCGATAATGTGATTAGCTGAATAACCCTAAGACGTAGACAACTATTTTTGATAGTCAATGAAATAAAGAAGCAAAAGGTGCCTTGTTGATATTATTTTACCAACAACACAATAATATATTTTTGAAGTCTGCAGTCAAAAGATTTTGTCTATAGTAAGAACATTGTTCGATTTACATGAAAAGTTTCTAACACAATGTCGCTAACAGGAAGTTCTATCCCGAGAACCTTTTTGTTTCTCAACAAGAACTTTTTGGTTTTTGATTTTCATAGTTTAAAAAAAATAATTCCACTGGTACCTTTTTCACTTGTGTCGATTAAGTGTTCCATTCAATAATTGCTCAATTGCGTACCATGAAACAATTTAACTCAATTTATATCCTTATTGTAGTAATAATTTACTGACGTTAATGCTAATTTACACAAACGACACGGAGTCTGACCCGAATCCGCTGTCGGAAATCATCATTTCGCGAAAGGGTGAAAAGCTGTCAGCAACATGTCAGATCTTATTGTCAGTGAAATCAAGCACGACCAAATGAAAACCGTGGCTCGCCTCAGTATCATCAAAGTGCTTACTGTTGGTAAGTATTCAAACTTGATAAAAACGTTAGGAATGATTTCGCTGACGCGAGAAACTAAGATTTACAACAAAAAAAAAACAACAAATTCAATCCCAAGTTAAAAATCTAGGCCGAATAATACCGGGCTTACAATTATATATATATATTTTTTTTTGTCGATCAAATGTACACTCCTTCTTAGTCACAATCGGGAAAAACTCCAAACATTTTCTGCCGACTTGTCCAACTTAAAGTTTGACACGCTATCGCTTTGCAGAAAGTGGTGGGGTCTTTTCAGAAGTCTTATGGAACGTTTATTAGACAAGCGCCGACCTGCCAACGGTTTCCAAGCTGATATTCGTTAAAACTCATTTCGCCTACAAAGAGAGAAAGTATATTGTTTTTCCGGAGGAATTGAGTAATGTACACATTTTCTTTTGTAAACGCTTCTCATCGAAGCAAAGTGATTAAATAACTTTGAAAACAAGCGACACACAATGTATTTTTCACTGTGCAAAACTCAACCGTTTTGATACTATATTTTATGTTTGTTAATTATATTTCATCAGTAGAGAAAGGATTTTTGGTTTCCACATATTATTTTTAGTGGCTTTGTGCTGGTCTACTGGTTTGAAAAACGCGGAAGATCTAATGATCAGAGAAATTCGTTGAAAAAGTAATTATTTCGCATATTAAAGCATATTTTGGAATTTGGAAATTGGAGATTATTTCCAGATTTGAGCAATTTTCTTAGCATTTAAAAAAAAGTAATAATAACATTTGTATCTAAGTAGTCCATTAATAATGTGTTTATAAAGTTTTCTGTTTATCAAATACTTGTTATCAGCGATTCTTATCAGTTAATGTTATTATTGTAAATAATGTGTACCTACAGTATATTCGGCACTATAATTCGTTACTTGAAAATATATTGGTTTACTACGAAGTGCACTATCTGGTTTTATTTAATCTAATTCATTCTAGCAAAATTGTATTTTAAAGCCCAAAAATTCGCTCTTTATTCTATAAAATACTTTGCGTTGTGCTGACACCACTTGGTGGTTGTGGTATTTTACTGTTTTTGTATAAGAAGACAGCTGTTCTGGTTTACAACAACAGCTCTCCTCTCTCTCCAAAAGCATTATGATAATGTTGTAAATAATATTATCAAAACCGAAAGAAAACAGTTTTGGAAACGTTTCGGGTATTTTTGGAGCGCAAAAACCACATTTCCGGATTATCGTCAGATACACAAACATTTCCGGCACGGTGTTGAGTAAAAAACGGTGTTCGCCGAAAAATAATTTCATCACGGACGACTGCTACTCGAAAAACGAATTCGGTAAACACGGGTAAGTACGTTCTGTGAGCCCGATCAAAAATAATACATCATAAATTACACCACCGTGTCGATTTCGGCGTAGTTCATTTTGTGATTTTCCATTTTACCCACAGCTGACCAATGTAAAACGCGAATGACCGTTTTGTTTTATGTTTTACCCCTTTGCAAAGAGATTATCATCATAAATTAACATTACAATGTTTGGGAATCGAACCTGCCCTGAAGCGTTAACTCGACAACGGCACGGTGTCCTTTTCAAATAATAATTTATTTAAAAAGCCAAACGCGCGAATTAATCTCAAAGCCGGAAACTTGCGGGGCTTTACTTTTTGGGGTTACTTTCTTTAACTTAATAATTAAATTGCGTTTCAATTCAGAAGGAAGTTGGTCGTACTTTGCCCGGTAAACCCCATAACCCATTCGTGTCAGAAACCTAATATCAGCTGGTTAATTTATCAAAGTAAACCCACATTACAAAAAAAAGTTTATAACTCACACACGGTTTAAGTCCGGCACAACGAATTCTACTAGTTAGCAAAGTGTACCTACAACTAGTTACTTAAGTCGCTGGTTATGAGAAAATATAATAATTTGGTTGATTATTTTCACCGTAGTAAGGGATTATAATTGCTTATAGATCAAAATATAATATAAGTACATTAAAGATAAGATTCGCCCGGCTTCGCAATATCAGTGTTACCAAGTCATATAATTAAACTACAGTGTGAAATTAAGAATTATTAAAATATTGACTGAATTTGATGTGAACGTTTTGACTGGCGAATTAACCAGTTTTGGACGATTGCTTTTAAAGTTATTGCGGTGTTTAAAGTTGAGGACCGTAAGAAGGGTGGAGTGAAGTAAAAACAAATAAAATTGAACAATAAGTTCAACTTTTATTTTTTTGTCTCGTGTCTGTT